AATTAAAAGGCTGCCACGCCCTCACAGAAGATCTTTTTTTTTTTTTCCCCCTTAAAAACAGGTCCTTATGACCCGGGCTCCATGTCCATTCTTGGTAGCATCAGTTTTTTTCCTATTCCCCCGGCAAGTCATATGAACAAGATTACATCAATATACCCACACATGCTCCCTTCCGTCTGGCCGAAGGGACCCTGATCAGCATTGATTGCTCCACAGATCTGGAGGATTGACTGTCAGCTTGCCTGTCCCTGAAATTCCTCTCAGGCTCCTCTATCGGGGGCCTGTCAGGTATGCTAGTATTACAAGAAAAACAGGGAACTTAAACAGTGAGTTGGCATTGGAGAGTCATATATCCCTGTAGTCCTGTTGTCCGGCCTGTAGAGAAACTCTTGTTCTTTGGGAAGTCTCTGAGTTATGCCACTCCTTCCATCTGATTTGCAGCGCATGAATGTCGGCTATCTTCCCGTTGATTAACCACACCGTCTTGAACGTGGATATTAGTTCTTGTTGCTTCTCCGGGTTCTGCTGAATCTGGAGTTTGACCTTCTTCCATTGGCATCGAATATTTGTCTCCATAAAGAGTCTTGTTGCTGCCCAGAACTGCTCCACCTGATTGCTGGACTTGTTAATGATTCTGTTGCACCTTTCCTTCCAGATGACCCAGAGAGTCACTTTCCTGATTATTCCAAACCATGTGCGTTCAGGCTTATGGAAATGGGCTGGGATGTTAGTCCATAGGAGAAGTTGAATCGGGTGTTCAGGTAGGGAGGAAGGAAATAGATGATCCCAGAGTGCTGAGGCTCTCGCCCAAATGTCAGTAGCAAACTTGCACGTTATCAGGCAGTGTGTGAGATCTTCTCATTCGTTGTCCGAACACACTAAGCACCGTTCTGAGCTGTTCGGGTCGCTGTCCTTCCTTCGGATGTGTAGCCAAGCGTTCACTGGGAGGGAATTATAGGTAATTAGCCATTGGAGGCTTCTAATTTTGACTGGCCGGATAGACTTGTATTTTCGCCAGGGAAATTCAGGGATTGGCTCCATTCTCTGTCCTAACAATTTAGAGCATCGCTTCTTGATTACAGGTTCCGTGTCATTTGTTTTCAGTAACATCCTGTAACCCATTTTGACTGTGTATTGTGTTATCTGAATGGGAGTCTTACAGAATCTGTTGCTTTCTGAGAGCCAGGTTCATTCTTCTGGGTCGAATTCAAGATCCTGGATCGCTGTGTTCATTTGGAATATTGATTTCGGCCAGGTTCCCAATACTTTTATCTTGCGGAGCGTATAAGTATTGAGGATTGTTTCCTGAGGGTCAATATTGTGGATGGAGAGCGAGTTGGGATTGGACCAGCTTATGGGAAACACCATGAATACTCCTGAGAGGTCTGAGCCCGGGCATCTGTGGTGGAACTGGTATGCTTCCTTGGGTGCGGAATCCTGGATCAGCACCCCCCATTCTCCTGATTTCCATGGAAATTTTTCTTTTAGTAGTTCTTTCCACCCATCGGGGAAGCTGTTCACGACCGTTGTCAGATTTTCATGCCGATTATGACAACCTTTTAGCAGATGTCTCAGTTGTTCTTCATCAATCCAGTCCTTCTTCTTTTCGTCCCAGATGTGCGCTACCCTCCATACCCCATGTCTGACCCACGAAAGGCAGCGTTGGCCCTTTGCTAGCGACAGAGGGAGATCCCCTGCATCCCTCACATATTGATTCCTGAATAGGGGCTGACGAAGTACTTCTTCGGATTTGGGCTTCTTTACTTTGTTCGGTTGAATTCCTCTCCAAATTAGAATAAGGGCTGTCCAGTAGGGTGTTGACAGTTGCGCTCCGTTCTGTTGTGGGTTAGGTCGTCGTCTTCTCCTACCAGTCTTCGGGGTCCAGTCCTTATTCATTACCCAGAGCAAGCCTGGCATATTGGCAGGAGTTTGAACTGGAGCTAAAGCTCTGATGCTGTCTAGGGCTAGTTTGTGCCATGCCAGTCTTGGTTGGGTTAGTAATTTGACTATTCATTTTATCTGTAGGGCTTTTGTTTCTTGTTTGGGGTCGATTATCCCCAACCCACCTTTGGAGGTCTTCCGGGTTATGTAGTGCCAAGCTATTTTTGGGATATATCTCGTCTTGTTGGGATCACCTGCCCACCGATAGGCTCTTGCTTTGCTATTTAGTTCTTTGATATTCTGGTCCGGTATGGTCCAGATGGAGGCTATGTACCAACCCTCACAGAAAATCTAACACAGATTCATAAGAGCGTCCCAACACAGTGGCTCTCCCTCTTAAGGGTGGACTTCTCGTGAAAATCCGGGGACTGACCCAGCCTCACAGAGCTTACCAATTTGTTTCTCGAACCAATGCACCCAACTACCTCTCCAAAGTCTTCTCCTACCCGACCACTAATCACAACCTAAAAGAGCTGGAAGTTATGAACAAAGAATTCCAGTGTGACATGCTAGAATCCTTCTGATTGAGGAAAGTGAGGGTCACAAATGCCAAACCCTGGATAATCTTCCAACCTGATCTCTGCATCTCAGACCTCAAATTCGCCCCGAAAGAGTGGAAACAGGGGAAATCCGGGAGAACGAGAACGATATTCGAATACGATGTAAAATTCGGTTATGACTTAGGATTACAAACTACAGTCCCGGATACCAGACTCAAAGAAAAATGGAGGGAGATCCTGAACCTAGAACCTACTGACCCCGTTTCCATCCCCTGGACGAAGTACCTGTCCATCAGACCGGGTAGGATCCGAAGCATGCAGTGGCTCGTACCCCACGCATCGCTGCCCGTCAACCAATGGCTCCGCAAGAGGAGGAAACATACGGATCCCGACAGCTCCAAATTATGTGTTATGTGCACAGACAACAGACCAGAAGACATACCCCCCTGTCTCGTGTACTGCACTGAAGCAGCCTAGATATGGGACAAAGCTCGCGAACTATGGTCCCTCCTCTTCTCATCACCCGCTCCCCCCCCATCTCCTCAAGAGTCAAAACATCCTCCTCCTATCCAACAGTACTAACAATCTCAAAGGCGGCAAGGAAATCTGGTTTCACCTTCTTAGGAAGCTGGCTCTGTGGGTGATCTGGAAAAGGAGGTGTACCAAGACTATCGAGAGAACTGAGGTGGCAAGGGAAGAAATGTGGGCCCTACTGTCAAGTATGACTGAAACTGAGATTCGGTGCAGATGGAGGGAGGTGACATCAACAACGAAAGTCAGACCAGAAAGGCTAGCCACCAAGAGACGTTCTTTCATGAGAGACTGGCTCCCACAGGGAAAGATCGCAACAGTAGATTCATCTGGAAAAAATGGCACAACAAAACTCCAGCGAGGACGACGACCCAGTGATGGGCAAACTGAGACCATAGTCTCAACAATACAGACAACTCTCCTCTTTTCTTGTTGCACACGAACTACATGACAGAATCAAAATGGATTCTGAGAGGAAAAGCGGTAGGGCAAGCTAACAGTCAATCCTCCTACATAGGAGCAATCAATGCTGGTCAGGGTTCCTTCGGCCAGACGGAAGGAAGCATGAGAGTGTTCACCATGTATTCCAATTTTGAACTTGCCGGTGGACGGGAACCAGACTGAAGCTCCCCAGAATGGATATGGAGCCAGGACCATAAGGACCTGTTCAAAAAAAAAAAAAAGAAAAAAAAAAAAAGAAAAAAGGGTCGGAAGAACGTAGGGAGTGGTTGACAGACCAAGTGTTACGCGTCCCCCTGAAGGGGTGTCACCGTGTCACTCTCTAGAAGCCAACATAACCACGATACGGCAAAGTATCCCACAGCACTGGATTGCGCTGTTAAGAGAAGAGTGCTTGTGGAAACCTGGGCAATGGGACCTACTCACCACTCAAACCCCGCCTCTGAGAGTGTACCAGTTCATGAAGTGCCTAGCAGGAGCCAACTACCAGTCCAAATTCGTTTCATACCCAACCTCCACTTACAACCTCCAGGAACTACCTTCTTCCCCCGAATACAACGCACGGTCATTATAGCTGTATCTAGACTGAAAGATGCCTCAAGTACAGCTATAATGACCGTACGTTGTATTCGGGGGAAGAAGGTAGTAATCCTAGACGCTGAACCTCAAACTGAGATCCTAGAGAACTTTCTTAATCAGGAAGGCCAGGGTCTCGCAGACTAAATCATGGCTGATCTTCCAACCAGAACTTAGCATAGGAGATTTGGAATTCGACCCCAAGGAATGGCTGTGGAATCAGGATAGTACAAGCAGAACAAGAACACTATTTGAATATGATGTAAAATTCGGGTACGATCTCAGTCTACGGACGGTAGATCCAAACTCTTGACTAACAGAGAAATGGAGAAAAATTCTGAGGACGAACTCTACAGTCTCCTTCACCATTCCATGGGCGAAACACCTTCCCATCGGACCCGTAAGAATCTGCAGCATCCAACGGCTCATAGCCCACGCGGCTCTGCCTGTCAGCCAGTGGCTCCACAAAAGAAGAAAACAATCGGACCCCAATTGCTCAGAACTATGTGTAATGTGCAATACCAGTGCATCGGAAGATATCCCTCACTGTCTTCTCTTCTGCCCCGAGGCAGCCTGGTGCTGGAACAAGATCCTGGTCCTCTGGTCCACCCTCTTCTCTACACCACCCCCCAGTACTACCCCCCTAACTACTCTGCTTCTCTCGAACACCTCCAGGAATCTCAAAGGCAGCAAGGATATCTGGTTCAAGCTACTCAGGAAGCTGACACTCTGGGTCATCTAAAAACACAGATGGACACAGACAATCGAGGGGACAGAAGTGGCGCTACTCAGGAAGCTGACACTCTGGGTCATCTAAAAACACAGATGGACACAGACAATCGAGGGGACAGAAGTGGCAAGAGAAGAAATGCGGACTCTACTACTGAGGATGGTAGAAACTGAAATCCGGAGCAACTGGCGGAGGGCGGCCGCTTCAACAAAGCACAGCCCAGAAAAGATGGACGGACGTTCTTGACAGACTGTTTGTTACGGGGCAAGATCGCCACCATAACAGACAACAGGCTGGTTGGGAAGAAGTGGCATCAATCTTAGCAGGCATTATATGGGCCACCAAGGAGACTATGACAGTGGAACAGCAGAGCTGAAGGCTGAACTTCCCACGATTCTCACTAAGTCAAGCTGTATCAGACAGGACCTGAAACGTCCCTGAGAGGAAGAGTAGGGAAGGGCAAGCTGATAGTCAATCCTCCACTAAGGAGTAATCAATGCTGGTCATGCATCCTTCGGCCAAACGGAAGGAGGCATGAGGGTGTTCACCATGTATTCATTCTCGACTTGCCGGGGGAATAGGAACTGGACTGACGCTTCCCAGAATGGACAAGGAGCCAGGACCATAAGGACCTGTTATTTAAAAAAAGAAAAAAGAAAAAAAAGAAAGGGGAGAGAGAGAGAAAGGGCTTTACAAACTATGCATGCTTCTATTGGACTTCATGTTGCTTGCTATTGAGGTGAAACTGTTTCATTGTTGGGTTGTCTGAACTCAAGGGCTTTCGTTGTCTGTAATAGGATTAAATTATTTCAGTTATTAAATATGCTTTGATTTTGGATCTGTTCATCTGGGTGGAATAGGGGCTGTTGTGCTGAAAATTCAAAACGCAGTGTCTCATACCTCCCAGGGACCCCGTGTCAGTAATAAGCAGTATGCTTTTGAGTCTATCATGAAGCAAGAGAATCAGGAGCGGAGCTAGATGCACTAATCTCGAGTGTTAAAAAAAAAAAAAAAAAAAAAAAGGGGAGACGAGCCAGACACTCTAATCTTGAGTTGAAAATAAAATAAAAAATCCAGAGAAAAGCTGGACGTGAATGCACGTCCTCCCTCAGATCCCTATACGCTAAGCCACTCTCATTCCGCGAATACAACTCAGGCTTCCATTGGTCACCAAGGCATTGGAGGGAACCAGTCAAACTTGATGCAAACAGTCATAAAATCGAAACCCGTATCTCATCTCGCATTCATGAAGCGGCAATGCTGTTCGTCCATTTCCGTTACTCATGGAATAACCATTGTCTTTCAGGAGCATCTTTGCAAGCTTCTGTCTGTGTGTGTTGTGTGTGTGTTAGATTTGCACCACAACAGCCCCTGTTCCACCCAAATGAGGTGATCCAAAATCAAAGCAATGTGTGTGTGTTTTAAATTTGCACCACAACAGACCCTGTTCCACCCAGATGAGTATATCCAAAATCAAAGGAACTTTACGGTTGCAGGCAAATTAAGCACTCTTGAAATGAGCCAATCCAACAATGAAACAGTTTTACCTCTATCGCAAGCAATACGGAGCACAATAGATCCATCCTTTCCCTTTCTTAAGTATCTTTACGTTAGTTCTCTCTGGGGTACCCCTTCTATTTGTTCTTGCAGGTCCCCTTTTACTATGCCTCTCATGTACAAGGCTGACGACGTTGATTGTGGTTGAGCGCTAGCTGCACACATCCCAGTGTGCCTGAACGACACACTTGCACATTATGAAATGGGGCAAGTAAAAGGGGGGTATACTCCTGTACATTTTCCTTCAGACCTTCAGCTTATACTCTGTTCGCTTAATGATGCCCATTCTTATGTATTTATTAGTAGTACACAAGGGGATGGAGGAAGGAAGGAAGGGGCAGGGGTGGAGTTCTATAGGAAGCAAGAGGCGAGAGAGAGAGAGAGAGAGAGAGAGAGAGAGAGAGAGAGAGAGAGAGAGAGAGAGAGAGAGAGAGAGAGAGAGAGAG